AACAAATTTCAATGAATCTAAAATAAATTATAATGAAAACAACAAATACATAAGAATTTATTAGCTTCCCTCGGATGACCCGATGTGATAGTTTGGGCCTTCTGTCAATGTTTGTAGCACCCAAAATAATGTAACAACATGATTCAAATTGATTTGTGTCCATTAATTTTTTATTCTAATGAGCGTAGCATGTATATTCTAATAATCAGGAAATTCTTTTTGCATTAACATTTCTCATTAATATAAAAAATGCACTACATATGAAATGGAAACATATTGTAAAAAATACAGTAAGGTATAAAAGTGAAATAAGATGATTCCTACTTGTTGTGTTTGGGTTGGATGGAGGTGGATCCATCAGAATCTCCAGATCATAAGGTAACAAATCAATCCAAAATTAATTGACTGCATAAGTAACTAGATAACATTAAAACGAATATAGCCAACCTTCTGAAATAATGAAAAAATAACAACTTATGAAAATACAAATCTATTTAGAACAGTGAATATATACTCTCCCGAAATAACGAAAATGTTCCGAAAACAAATCACTAACATAACGAAACAAAATGATTTGCTTAACAAATGAAACTGAAATGAAACACATTTCTACATTGTGCACAACTCTACTGATTACCAATTCACCAAACACAGGGTTTTGACTTTGGGATTGAATTACTAACGGTGAATACACCTTACACTTTGCAAGTGCAGATGCTCCAGAACTTAGTAAATGAGGTACAGCTTCAATTTGCAAAGAATACCCAATCATGTGCAGGGAAAATAAAAAAAATTGTATTTTTGCTGGCATGTGATTGGGTGATGGAAGTCAGTAAAGCATCTGCTCATTTACTAAGCTCTGGAGCAACTGCTCTTGCAGAGTGCAACTGCACTTTGCAAAGTGTACATTCTATTTGCCTTTAGTAAATCAACCCCTTTGTTTTGCAAATTGATATTGAAGCCTGTGATTTATGATGCTCCTGTACTCTTCTTCTACTTTGCTTCTACTTGTTTTCTTATCTGCAAATCATGTTTTAACCTTTTTTTTCAAAACCTTACAAAACTATATGTTTCTATTTTAGTAATACAAAAACATCTAAGGAATCAATTGGGGAAAAAAATAAATACGTTAGAAAAGGAATGCTTTAAAAAGCAGATTGTAGAATACAAAAAGAGGACACGGTAAGACTTGTTCTTACTATCTCAAAATGCAGAATGCCATAAAGACATTACTTTCACACACAGTCTTTATAGGGAGTGTGGATATGTACTGTCACAATATACCTTAGACAAAAGAGAAGCTTTTATCTGTGGAAATTCCACTTGATGCCACAATTCATGTTCAATGTCTACAGATAATTTACTTCAAGAAAAGATTTTGTATCTGTAATCACAAGTGCATTCTTAATTACAGTATTTGACATCTAGCCAAAAGTTTACACAACTTGAGAAACTTGTGACTGTATTTAAACTAAACTTTTTCTATAGTTTTTAATCCATAGTTTTTAAGGTTGATAACAGATCTGTAGCTCAAGGTGGGCAGCCATTTGAGGGAAGACCACTCCCAGAATGCACAAGTTAGTATTTGAACTTTATACACATATAAGTATACAAGTACAATACATACACACCCTTTCTGCATGACAAGGGCACTCTAAATTTAATCTAGGCAGGCTGGAGCTTGCAGATTATTCTAAGGAAACAAATTTTCATAGTAATTGTGAATTTCAATATTAACATATTAAAAACCACCCACACCTAGATCTATGTTGATCATAAAATACACAAAATATAAATTTATTTACGCATATACTTTTTTAACACAGAATGGTGCATTTGTTTAAAACATAAAATTGTATTCAGGTCATTTGAAAAACATGTACAATTAAAAAAGCAATGCATAGGAGCCTTATATTACCAAAATTTACATGTCTTGCATGTCAAACTCTAATATATTATAGCATAGTACAATATTTGGGTGGCACAGTGGCTTGGTGGTTATCACATCTGCCTTGCAGTAAATGAGTCATGGGTTCAATTCCTGACCATGGCACCTCCTGCATGGAGTTTGCATGTTCTCCCTGTGCTTGCGTGGGTTTCCTCCCACACTCCAAAGATATGCTGGTAGGTTAATTGGATCCTTTCTAAATTGGCCTTAATATGTATATGTATGAATGTAAGTTAGGGACCTTAGACTGTACACCCCTTGAGGGTTAGGGACTGATGTGAATGTTCAATATATATGTGTAAAGCGCTGCATAAATTGACAGTGCTATAAAAGTATCTGAAATACATAAATATTCAATATAACCAGGATTCATATTACAACCCTCAACCCCCTCCCAAATATGTACTTTCAGGGAACTAGATAAGACATCTTAATAAAGCATTTTGTTATCATATATTAACTCCTTCCCGCTGAGCGCATGTATATATGCGGCCTCTCGGCGGTGGGTCTTAACGCCAAGAGGTCGTATATATGGGTACCCTAATAAAAACAAAACTGTGCCAAGAGTGTGCACCGTGCGCACTCCTGGCACAGTTACCGACGGCTAACGGAAAGCTCCCGATCACTACCTGCAATCAGGAGCTTTCCGATTATGTGACAACTGTGAAAGCCAATCATGGCGGTCACATGATCACAAACCCCACATACCGGCATCTAAAACCCCTTCAAGGGGTGGGAGGCGCCAGCGCCAAGGGGTTAAATACTGATGCACAAGATTTTAGCTTCAAAGGAACTCTTGGAACCTCAGTGCAATATGCTAATTACTTGCAAGTTTTACAGTACTAAATCATCAACATTTCAGTAACCCAAAATAATCATTACATTTCTTTGAGGTTCCACAGTTCAGCAGGCCCTTCTCAGCCATTTAGTAGACTTCTCCAGCAAAGGTGACTTGTCCAATTTACTCACTGCAGTATTTCAGCTGTTCTCAGTTTGTACATATCTCTGGCACCAAAACACTTTCATTCTTTATCATAAAAAGTTTTTCTTGAGCAGCCTCAAGCTAATGGATTTCACCTGTGTACAGCTCACCCCCAAATGAGCTGCTGATGTATGTGTAGACGAGTGCTGTGACAGACCCAACCCAACCAGGAGAGGGACTTTTGGAGGAGACTGCAGTCTAGCCTCTTGCCTACTGACTATAGGCCCTGGCATTTGAGTGGGCTCTACTCTTTGGGAGATGTGTGCTTGAGGGATCCTTTTGGAGTAGTTTTACTTCATTGTATCCCCGAAACACACAGACTATGAGAACTGGAGAACCAGGATTTGGGGTCTCTGTGCCCAAACCAGCATTGACTGCTTCAACCCTCCTCCTCCGACTCAGAAAAGAATTTAATGTAATCAGCTAAAAACAATATGATGCTGAGGTCTCTTGCTGTGAAAATTCTCAGGAGACTGCGGGAGGAAGGAGGGGGGGCCGAACCTTTGGCTCAGTTCGCCATGGCGAACTGAGCCAGAAGTAGGAGTGGGTACCGTCTGGTGCCAAATATGGCAGTGAAGGGGGGGAGGCAAAGAAGCAGAGATTCTACTTTTGGGTGGAACTTTGCTTTAATCCTTGTGGAGGTGTCACAGTTAAAGAACTTTCATAGGTTTGAGATTCAGAAAATAAATAAGCCACCTGACCAGGACACAAGTGATTTGGCAGAGGTACCCGGTAGTCAGGCCCAGACTGGCCATAGGGCCGGGGCTCCCTGGATAGAAGAGGCAGCCAGGTGACACATAGAGGACCACACAGTTCTTGGTTCCTCTATGTGCTGCCCAGCCGCTTCTCCTATCCATCTTCTGCATGCGGTCAGCTCCTGTATGCTCCCCAAGCGGCCGCGCCCCCTCCCTCATCTCCTCCAGTGGACCCCCTCATCTCCTCCAGCGATTCCCACCTCATCTCCTCCTCAGCACCCCCCATCTCCTCCAGCACCCTTCATCTCCTCCAGCGGCCCCCCCTCCTCATTTCCTTCAGTGGCCCCCCTCCTCATCTCCTCCAGCAGCCCCCTCCCTCATCTTTTCCAGTGTCCCCCTCCCTCATTTCTTCCAGCACCCCCCCCCATCATCTCCTCCAGCAGCCCCCTCCCTCATCTCTCCCTCCAGTGTCCCCCTCCCCGATTTCTTCCAGCACCCCCCTCATCTCCTCCAGCGGCCCCCTCCTCATCTCCCTCCAGCAGCCCCCCTCCTCATCTCCTCCAGAGCCCCCCCCCTCATCCATCGCTGCGGGGCAGGGGTGAACTGACAACTCATGGGGCCCCTGGCAATAGGGGATCATGGGGCCCTGTGTCCTTGCCCAAATTCAAAAAAGCCTATGAAAAAGGTACCAGGGGCATCTCATGGGGCCCCCTACTGACTCCGGGCCCTTGGGCAGTGCCCAAGTTTCCAAATGGTCAGTCCGCCCCTGCTTCAGGGGACCTGTCAGCAAATATCTTCTTTCCCCCCTTCTTCTTTCTCTCTCTCTCTGCCTCCTATTTCATTTCTATCTTTCCTCTTTCTTTCTCTTTTACTTCTTTATGTCTGTTAAGGGACATTAAGAGAAAGTGTTTTTTTTTAAAAGCTGAACTCCACACAAACATATAAATACGGAGTTGAAATACTTCTATTTTTCTGTTTTGTCTTGTAATCCATGCATCCATGCCAGAAAGCAGACGACAGAGGCACATGGCGCAGGGTGGCGGTGTAGGCAGCATTATTCTGAAGCCATACACAGGCCTAGGTTAAAAAGTGGAAGCCGTCAGCAGCGTGAGCAGACAACAGAGACACATGGCGCAGGGTGGCGGTGGATGCAGCAGTATTCGGAAGCCAAACACAGGCCTCGGTTAAAAAGCGGAAGCCGTCAGCAGCGTGAGCAGACGACAGAGGCACATGGCGCAGGGTGGCGGTGGATGCAGCAGTATTCGGAAGCAAACACAGGCCTCGGTTAAAAAGCGGAAGCCGTCAGCAGCGTGAGCAGACGACAGAGGCACATGGCGCAGGGTGGCGGTGGAGGCAGCAGCAATGGAAGGCCATACAGCACCCTATCACAAAATGGAACCCACCAACAGTGTAAGGAGACCTGAAAGTGGCACATGGCAGAGTCTGGCGATGAAGTCAGCAGCAATGGGAGGCCGTACAGGGACCCATGACACACTCTGGACCTGGCAGCAGCAAGAGGAGGCGGTACAGGGGCCCATGGCAGAGTGGCGAAGCGTAAGCAGCTTAAATTGAAGGCCATACAGAGGCCTATGTTAAAAAGTCCCCCAGCAGCAGTGTGGGGAGACGACTATCAAGAGTCCAATGGCAGAGTGGCGGAGCAGAAGCAGCTTCAATTGAAGGCCATACACAGGCCTAGGTTAAAAAGTCCCCCAGCAGCAGCATGGGGAGACAACTATCAAGAGTCCAATGGCAGAGTGGCGGAGCGGAAGCAGCTTCAATTGAAGGCCATACACAGGCCTAGGTTAAAAAGTCCCCCCAGCAGCAGTGTGGGGAGACGACTATCAAGAGTCCAATGGCTGAGTGGCGATCCGGGAAGTCAGCGTTGTGATTGCAGATGCAATGCAGAAATTCTACGAAGTAATGCCGTGGGTGCGAAGAAGATCATATACCGTCGTACTTCCATCCATAAGACGGAACAACCTGCGAACCGGGAGCTTTATTGCCCTGACCCGCTGAGCAGCTTCTGGGATACCCAAGAGGCCCATGGCAGAGTGGCGGAGCGTAAAGCAGCTTCAATTAAAGGCCATCACAGAGGCCTATGTTTAAAAAGTCCCCCCAGCAGCAGCGTGGGGAGACGACTATCAAGAGTCCAATGGCAGAGTGGCGGAGCGGAAGCAGCTTCAATTGCAAGAAGGCACATACACAGGCCTAGGTTAAAAAGACCCCCAGCAGCAGCAGTGTGGGGAGACGGACTATCAAGAGTCCAATGGCTGAG